GGGGGAACCGCTCTCCTTTGCAGTGCCTCCGCCTCCTCTCTCTCGCCAGCGGCGACTGGGGTTCTCCCTCCACACCGTCTCCCAGTTCCTCGGCCCCTTGTCCGCCCACTCTCCCGCCAGAGCGTGCAGAAAGGGAACCGCAGCCCGAGCGCGGCTGACGGCGCCGGGGGAGGCGGCCGTGGGTGTGTGCGTGTGTTTGAAGGACGCCACCTCTCGCTCCTGCGTTCGCAGGCGGTGACTGGCGGCGGGGCTTCTCGCTCCGGCAACGGTGGCGACCGCGGCGGCGGCTTCCGGAGTCCCGCCGCGAAGATGCTCAAAGTCACGGTGCCCTCGTGCTCCGCCTCGTCCTGCTCTTCGGTCACCGCCAGTGTGGCCCCGGGGGCCGGGAGCCTCATCCCGGATTACTGGATCGACGGCTCCAACAGGGATGCTTTGAGCGATTTCTTCGAGGTGGAGTCGGAGCTGGGACGGTAAGGCGGAGGGGGCGGGGTGGCGAGCTGGGGCGTTGGGGGGCGCCCTGGACCTGGTGGAGCGTGGCGCCCTGTGCGCGGGCTCGGGCTTCTGGAGAAGCCCGCGGCGCGCAGCGGACGCTCTCCCTCTCTCAGCGACAGCTCCCGAGGATGCGGGAGCCGGCCTCCCTGCCCTTCGGTTTTTACCCGCTCTGGGAGAGAGCTCAGCACCATGCAAGTGCGAGTCGGGTCTCCTCGGGAGCGCCCAGGCCGGTGCAGCTGCTAGCAGCAGCCCGACTCTCTCCCACTCTCCCTCCTCCTCACCGCCTGCCACTTCCCTTGCGTGACAGCTCCCACCGCACGTGGGCCCTGCTTTCCCAACTGGTGTCTTTGCTCACGATTATATCTTGCCAGAGGGTCCTGTTTGTCTAGTTATTTTTTGGATTGGGGTGCGGAGGGAGCCTCTCCAAATCATGACAGAATTATTAAATTAGATTCTTTCTCTTTCCCCTCATCAAGCTCTTCAAAGCAAGTGGCACTAGAAATTAAACTTAAACACTAGCTTCCCTGCAGAGTCTGCTCAGGAGTGAAGGGGAAATGAATCATTTAAGAGAGTTGAAGGCAGAATAATGAACTAGTGTGGCTTTAAAGAAAAAGCAGCCCTTGGGGTGGTAATTAGTGAGAAGAGTTCTGCTGCTCTTCTTTCATGTGCTGGAGTGATTTGCTTAAATTATGTATGCAGAAAACCACCTCCCTGGGGTTGTAGAAATGTTCCTCATCCCTTCTGTGAAGATCCAAACAGGTAGTGGTTTTGCCATGTGAATGATGCCATATGTTCTCATATTTTTATCCATTGAAACATATTTTTCCCTTCCTTCCTTTTTCCTTTTTTCCTTTCTGCTATCCATAGTTAAGGGACTTCTTTTCAACACTCATTTTAGAACCAGGCCCTTTATTATAGGGAATCTAAAGATGTAATTTCAACGTTTAACAGGTTGAAGCTTCTGTACTTAACTATTTCTTTGCAATTTTATTTTCCATTCTTATTTTGCTGGAAACAGTTTAGCTAACAGCCATTTTATTTTTTATGTCATTGGAGACTACAGTGTGGGATTCTGGATGTTGGTACCTAGTGGGACTGTGTAAGGGCCACTTTTCCCCTCCGAATTGCCACTACTATTAGTGGCTCACTGAGTGCAGAAGGTGTGAAAGAAAAGCAAAACTTCTGAATGAAAATTTAGGAGTTGCCACTGTTTTAAAATGTTTCAGAATATTTGAGCATTGAATAATGCATACATAAACATCCTGTTCTGATCAAGTTTTTCAATGTTCATCTGAAGATCTGCCGTAGTATGCATTCCCTAGTAGGTTGAAAATGAAATATCTCCTTTTGTAAGGTTTGAAGCCTACATAATTGTATGATGAGCTGCAGTGGAACAGTGTAAACTTCTGATTAAAGTGATAATCTACTTAAAATTGGTGAGTTTTAGAAACTGCCACCTAGTAGAGGAAGTGCCTGATGGTACTCCAGGGACTGTCTCAACACCAAATCTAACTGCTTTCTGAGTAACATTTACCTTAGATGCTCCTAATTGGTTATGACTTACCATCAGCACACGTTATCTTTGTGATTAAGCTTTGCCCTCAGAAAGCTCAAGAAATTTCCTTTAATGTAAGGAATGGGAAAATGGGTAGAAAAATAAATAAACTACAAATTGTGTGTATATACAAGATGGTAGACTTCATAGGGAAAACCTAAGGAATTTGGAGTTTATTATACTTTTTAAAACAGCTTGTTATATTTTGTACTAAATTTTGGAGCGTGAATATAAATCAATTATATATTGCTAAGACTCTCACTCTGCTAGCTAATCATTTGATTACCATGAAAATCACAGAATTAAAATATTTTGAGAAGAGATTTAAAATTGTTACTTCTGTCCTCTTTTTCAGTATTCATGTATATTAGGTAAGTTCTCTGTAGATGGCAGAATTGGTGAGGTGCATACTTACTCCATTTGGTTGAGACTTTGAGAAATATTATCACTTCATGGTCAAAGTTGGGTGTTTTTCAACAAAATAAACCTAAAACATAAAGCAACTCTGTTACAAATACAATTAGTAAGAATCTATAAATCCAGAGAATGCAACAGAATTATAATTGTAGATATTGACTGAGTGACAAGTTTTCTTCCTCACAAGTGATAAAGTTGAGGTTCAGTCGATTGGTTTCAAGTCTTTACTCTCTTTACTCCCAGTCTTGGGCCAAGTCTGCCTGCCAGTGGTGACTCTAAAGCCAAAATATTTAATTCATTAGTAACACAGGGCTTCCCTGGTGGCGCAGTGGTTGAGAGTCCGCCTGCCGATGCAGGGGACACGGGTTCGTGCCCCGGTCTGGGAAGATCCCACATGCCGTGGAGCGGCTGGGCCCGTGAGCCATGGCCACTGAGCCTGCGCGTCCAGAGCCTGTGCTCCGCAATGGGAGAGGCCACAACAGTGAGAGGCCCAGGTACTACAAAAAAAAAAAAAAAAAAAAAAAAAAGCACATTAGTAACACAGTTGTTATTAAGAGTAAGAGAACAATGCCCCTAGTGTTGTGTGGTGCCATTGTGGTTAGTTCCATGATGTAGACAGTTCCCTCCAGATCAAGTATAGATTAAGTTATAGAGTAATCTGTTACAATTGCATGTTGTAAGGAGACAGTTCCCTCCAGATCAAGTATAGATTAAGTTATAGAGTAATCTATTACAATTACGTGTTGTTAAGCTAGTGACTCCTGAATTCAAGAAAATTGGACAAATGACCATTAGGACAACATAGGTTGAGGATGTATTTGGGGATTTCAGGGAACAAAATTCCCAAGGCTGTAACCACTTGAATCCCCTGGATGGTACTGACAGCACCAATCCACATATAGCCATTCAGACCAGGGTAGATGTGATAGCTTTCTTTTTTCAGGATGAGGGTGAGGCAGGAACTGAAGCAGGGACTGAAGCAGGGGCCGAAGGGTGTTGAAAGGAATTATCTAAGAGTTTCAGGCAAACTAATTTATTTTCCCAAAAACCACATTTGAAAATACTGCTATGTTTATAAAATTTGTTTAAAAGTTTACAAAAATCAAGTTTACAGCAAATTCAGTTCTACTCAAAAAAATAAATTGACCGTGATCCTGTTCAGGACTCCATATCTTAAAGAGTGGTTGGTCCTTTGCCCAGTGATTTGAGAAATTGGTATTTTAAAGGTTTTTCCAAGGGAGAAGGGACCCTCCCTCTGGTCCAGATTCTGCCGGGTGGTTTGGCAAACAGAGGGACAGGATTTGGCCTGGGCTGCTCTGTGGTGATGATTTGGCCCTGTGTATCCAAACCCATGTTCTGTCTTCAGTTATTTCTCACCTTTTGTTTCTGTCTGTTGTATGAGATTGAAAGAATGTTTGTAACAAAATCAGATGTATTCCCACACACACACAAGTTCAGGGAAGCAAATGAAAGATAATTAGGACAAGAGAATAAAAGTGTGAAAATCACAGAATTAAAGTATTTTGAGAAATACTTAGGTTTGCTTTCTTTTTCAGCGTAGAAATTGAGTTTTTGGAATCTTTTCTTTTTTAATTTCCATTACATTTCACTATAGTTTCTTTAGGCTAATGACTTTCAGTACCTGCCCACCACCCAACTTGATTCACAATTTAAAAAAAAACTTATATAGCAACCCAATTTAAGCATAATTATATAGGATCCCTTGTTATGTGTGTTCTTGCTCAGGAAACAAATTTAGATAGTGAGTCATATGTGTATGTAAAATGGAAATAAAAGCTTCATAAAACAATGTTTATTTTTATTACCAGCAATATACTCTAATATTTCCTGTTCTGTGCTGTTTAATTTTATTCTAGTTCCTTAAAAATATTGGTTGAACCTACGTGATTTCACATCCCACTATAGGTTGTGATTCAGTTTGAAAAGTACTGTTTTAGGCCGTAAATCTGTGTATGCCAGATTAAAGTATGAGTATGAGTATCTTCCTTTTGAAAGATGCCGTGCAGACCAATTGGTAACATTGAGTAGTGTCTGATTGCATAGCTCTGTAAAGAAAAATCCCCCTGTCTTTCCTTCCAACATTATTGGGTTTCCCTTTTCAAACACTATTGGAAAACCTGGTTTCTCCACGAGGCCTGCTGAGTGGAGTGTATTCTGGACTGGCTGAGCAGTTCAGGAGGCTGGACCAGGAGCACCTTCACTGTGGAGTGGAGGAATCCAGAGGCCTGAGCAGGGCTGTAGTCCACTCGGTAACATGTAACTTTGTTCCCAGGTAATGGTCAGCAAATGCTTCCTGTAAGGAAACAGCAAAGTGTGCATTTTCTGAAAGGAGGGCTCCAACCTGTGCTCCTTGCTGGGGAGGAATCGGATCCTCTCTTTTCCCTTTTCCCTTCCTTCCGTTTGTTCAAGTCCGTTCCTGAGCCATTCTTAGCCAGTGCTTCTTGGGCTCTTGGTCTTTCCCTCACACTGTCCTTTAGGGCCCCACAGCCTATCCAGCGTATCCTCACAGCTGGCTATGGATCTCCTGCCACACGCACTGCACTTGGTATCTTAAGCTCTTTTGGGGATGATGTTGTTGTTGTTTTTTTTAATCTCACTAGGAATTTAAAGTATACTTGTTCAGTCCCTCTCTTGTTCTCTGTGCACCTGATTTTTTTCTCAGGCAGTTGACTCAGTAGCAAGGTGGGATTGCAATTGGGAGACCAGAAACTGGGGCTGCACAGGCTCTTCGCACCAACACTGACTACAAGTTCTGGAAGGCAGGGTCTGTAGATTTGGCTGGTTCACTCTTGTGTGTTCATTGCCTGGCATAGTGCTCAGTACTCAGCAGGTGCTCAACAAATGATTTTGAAGAGAATGAATGAATGATAACAAAGTGGGCCAGGCACTGTGGGTCCTGATGTGATGATCTCAGTTCTAAGGACCCCAAGGAAAGGGAAATCTGGTGACCTGTTTGACGTGTGTGATCATGATCTTAATCTCACT